TATTTGGTCTGCGATGTGGTCAGGGACTGGAAGTTTTAAAATATCCCTCAGGGATTGTAAAGTGTAGACATTTTTGGTAACCACTGCCAATCAAAGGAATGTCTTTTTTATTTCTTGTATTTGCTAAACATTCAAAAGCCATTTCCCTCAGATTTTAATTAAAAACCCTGGATGGTGAACAGGTTATTTATCAAATCTTTATTGAGAGTGTACTAAGTATTCCGCATTTGTTATTTTATCAAAGTGTGATGACATCACTGCCTTTCAATACAGTGAATAGCATCATGGAAAATTTTTTTAAAGTAAGTGAATATTTACATTGACGGAGTTGTTAACAATGCCCATAAACTAAATTATTAATAATATCATTAGCTGGTATAGCTTTCTAAAGCATTGTGTATCGTAAAGATACAAAGAACCAACTGGTTCCATTTATAATTCCTTAGTCTTGTATGTAGTGATGCTCATAAGTGGATGTTATTTAACAGCCACAGAATTCCTATTTGGAAATCAATGTGCCTTTAAGAACTGTACGATTTTCTTATAATGAGTGAAATCAACACGTACGTTGCATACCTGCCATGTACTGTTCAGGGCAGGGGGGCTATACAGTAAGAAATACCTGTTCTTATAAAACTAAAATGTTAGCAGAAAAAGACTAGTGATATCAAGAAATAGATCAGCTGACTGATGCTTTCAGGAATCAGTTCACATTCTAAAAGACAAAATAGACTAGGACAGGAATTAAAGAATGCTCAGAGGCAGGGTGGGGAAGAGCAATGGCTGATATTGTGCAGAAGGACTTCAGAGGAGAGACCTTGAGTCAACTAGGTGGAGGAGGGAGGAGGGAGGAAACCGGGGAAGATCTGAGCAAGATACTTGAGCTGTGAGACTAGCAAAGTACAGGCTGGAAAGAGTGCAGATAATCCAGGCAGTGGAGAGAGAGGCCTCAGAAGCTAACAGCTAAATCAAATGTGGAAAGTGACAAATGAGGTCAGAGAAAAAAAGGGCCTAGTGACAAGTGGAGCCCCAAATAGGCCACAGTAAGCATTGTTTTTCTTTGTTTCCTTCTTCTTTTGGCTGTTTTTCTAAGTGTTCTGAGAAGGCTTTGAAGACTTCCTGAGAAGTGATTTGGCCTAATTTACATTTAAAGAGATCGCTTTTGAAAAGCAAATTTATGTGGTCAAGTCAAGGTAATAAACCGGAAGAGAGTAGGAAAGCTTCAGCTGTGGTCCACACAGGGGATAGCTGGGACAGGGAAGCAGGGAGGCTGTTGAGAGCCGAGATGCAGAAGATGGGAGGCAGGCACCTGACACTCCGGAGAAATGGCCTGGTGGAGTGCGGCTGATAGGACGCCTGGTGGCACAGACCTGCATTTGAAAAGGTTATAGTCAGAAATTTACAGATTCTACCCTAATGCTGGAATTAAAGCATCATGATTTCTATGATAAAACAAACAACAAACAAAAAACTATTTTCTGGGTACCAGAGAAAATACCCATTCCTACAAGGTTTTTCTGTTTTTTTATAGACCCAAAATCAAATGATTCTCAGATAACTTCTGAAATCTGAATAATCTTGTCTTTTCTTTCATCTGATGCTGTCTTAACATTTTGAGGAACCACCTGTCTCAGCCTCCCAGAGAGCTTGGTTACTAAAAAGTCTTTAATCCTCTGTTCAGATTCAAAATAGAGTTCCAGTTAAAATTGAAAGTTGGGGGGCTGGGGATTTAGCTCCTGCCTGCAAGTGCGAGGTCGTGAGTTCGATCCCTAGTACCAAAAAAGAAAAAAAGTTTAAAAAAAAGTTGAAAGTTGGTATGAACTCTTGGGGCAGTCTATGGCAGTTTTATAGAGATGGTCCCATTTGGTCATTAATCATAAGAATAAGCAATGACCAGCCTTGTCATGAAGCATTTAGTCCTGATATTTATATGTAGCCAGTATGTAAGGAATGGAATAGTAAACATTAAAGTACAGCACAAGAGATTTTTTTTATTAGACAGGTCACACATGAGTTCGAATGAATTTAATACATGAAACTTTTATACATCCCTGGGGTGTCCTGTCTTATTTAAATATATTCTCTGCAGTATTTATCAGAGTAAGTGTATCTTCTGAAATATTTATCATTCCTAGTCACTCTAAGGTGCAGTTGGACACTGTAATCTTTGCTCCTAACTCTGTCCCCATCATCAGCCTTGTTTTATGAGAAACATGGGTTTTGCCTTAGTAAGATTGCTTATCTTTTTCCTAGAATTTCGTTCAGCACAAAGGTCTTCAGTTCCAGCCATGTTACAAATGACAGGGTTTTACTTAGTTTTCTGTATAAATAGTACTATTTCACCTTGGTCCATTCCTCTATGGATAGATACTTAGGTTGATTCCATTTGTGGCTTATGTGAATACTGCTGCAATAAGTGTGCAAGTGCAGATGTCTGTGACTTCAGTTCTTTTATGTACAGGCATACCCAACAGTCGGATTCCATTTCTCACTTTGGCGAGAAGAGTCCTCCATACTCTTTGTTATGATGCTTGTACTAACATTTCTATCAACCGCACTGGAGAGTTCTTCCCATCCTGCTGTTTATTTTATTGGTAATAGCCCTTCTAACTGAGTGCAGTGATACCTCATTTGGATTTGCATTTCCCTGGTAATTACTGATGAGGATTATTTCATGTATTTGTTGGCTGTCTTAAGAAGTATCTCTGGAGTACCTGGGCCCATTTTCTGGATTTTTGTTTCCTGAGACTCTGTATTGTGGGATTAGAATTTGTAATCCTGCCTCAGTCTTCAGCTCTCAGGTGTCCTTTGTGTGGGTGCTGTCTGAGGGATTACACCCAAGGCTCCCTGTCAGTTGCCTCCCCAGCCCATTATTTTGAGACATGATCTTAAAGAGCCACTAGGTTGCCTGAGCTGTGATAGAGCTAGGACACTGCCAGTTTGAATGAGCCCACTGGCCATCTCAGAGAAAGGGAGGGTTTTTTTGTTTTGTTTTGTTTTACTTAGTCACAGAGGATGTGTCAGTAGGTCACAAGCAGTCCCCTAAGGACATGTCTGCAGCTTGCAGAGGGCAGGAGGACACAGAAGCAAGCCACAAGCCCACTATTTCTCTGACTCACTCTCTCAAAAGCCTGTGTGAAAATCCTATACAGTGCTACTTTAAAAGCCTTTAATCTGCAAGAGACCCCCCCTGTCTGTTCTGCTAGCAACAAGAGCTCCCTCTCAGGTTTAATAATAAACCTGCTTGGATTGCTAAAGTTAAAAAGAAAGAAAGAAAAAAATAAAAAAAAAATTTTTTGAAGAGCAAGAATCATTGAAATGCCCGATTTTGGTAAAACTACCTGTATGGATTACAGCAGGCACAGCAATTTAAGCCGACCACAATAATGGCTGATTTGGCCCAAACTATTGTTTGGAATGATGGAGACTCTTAATGTTGCTACTGGTTGTTGACCACTGTGTCCAGACCAATGGTTTGTCACTTGCAAGATGGTGCCAGAGGGCGCACTCGCCTTGGCGCTATACTCTGTGACCTTGCCCTTTCCCTGACTATCCCAGCCTACCCTGCTAGATACAGCTCTTGCCTCATCACTGTTACTGTCATTTCTGATGCAGGTATGTATTTGAGTTGCAGGTAGAAAGGATTCAAGTAGCAGCTCTAACTCTATATTAGATGTACATGTACATAGTAACCAAAAGTAGAGGCTTTGGACCTGTTTGGCATTAGATTTGAATTTCTTGCTCCAGTTGTGATTTGGAGATGTTTTTGTGTGTTTTGAGCCTCTTTGTGCTTATTATTCTTAACCTCAGTAAAGTTAACTTAGATTATGAATATGAAGTCCTTAAGGAACTACCAAATATAGTAAGTGCTCAACAGATGGTACTAATGATTATAGCTTCACTCCATCGTCCATTGTTATTAATTACCTTAATACTTTTAATAGCATTGTGAGAGCAAAGAAGTTCAAGTCAGAATGCCTGCATTTAAAGCTCATCTTTGCCATGGGATCTTTGCTTCCTTTGCATTTTTTTCATGTACTTTGCCTGAGTACATTTTTTTCACCTGTTTTACTTATTTTTTTGTTACCAATAATTTGGTAAAAATAAAAATACCAATTATTTTAGATTATATTGATTAAAGAACATATAGTATATAAGGAATATACTAAGCCACAATAAGTTACACAAGAAAGTACTGTTTTGTTAGTTGAATTCTATAAACAATGAGTCTGAATAACTTACATCAAAAGTATAATTGAAAAACAAAAGATTGTGTTAGCTTTTCTATTTATATGGTGACACAATCACCTGCCTGGCAAGTACAAGGTCCTGAGTTCAATTCCCAGTACCCTCTCCCTAAAAAAAGTGCAGCCTATTGTGACACAGTCAGGTGAATTTGTAGTACTTGATCCAGGGAATTGTTTAAAGTGATTAATTGATTTTTCTAAATGTGAGTCATAAATGAAGGACAGGCTTAGCTATGATCTTAGTTGATCACTAAAAAAGCACATTGGTTTGTACAGGATACCAAAATGAAGTTCAGTTTCTTAGTTTGTCTCTCTGAGAAAGATCAAATAACCAGATAAGAAGCAAATCTTTTTTCTTTGAGTGTTTAATAATTTTCCCTGATATATTTCCCTCCTCCTTTTATTTGAAATGTTATTTGTAATATCTAGTTATCATTCAGTGCCCCAATGGTAATACTAGCAGTAAGTGCAAACTGCTTTTAAGTGAAAAATTGTTTAATTTTCTAAAAGAATTTTCAGGACATATTTTTCTTATTAACCTGTGATGATATTCCCAATATTGTTCCTAGTACTATTTTCAAACTGCTAGTTTTAACAAATAAATAATGTGGTGCTGTTGGTGTAAAAGTAATTTTTATTGCATATTAATTAGTGATGGTAAATCACTTTTGTGGTTGACATTAATCTATTAATAACTCCAGGCTCATTATGTAAACTTTACCGTGTATTAGTGGGCTTTCTTTCATTTTGTAGCTGGCTTAAGTCCTGCTGAGATTCAGCAGTTATGGAAAGAAGTGACTGGAGTTCACAGTATGGAAGACAATGGCATTAAACATGGAGGGCTAGACCTCACTACTAACAATTCCTCCTCGACTACCTCCTCCACCACTTCCAAAGCATCGCCACCAATAACGCATCATTCCATAGTGAATGGACAGTCTTCAGTTCTAAATGCAAGACGAGACAGGTAAAATCATTAATTATATATAGTATTAATTAATACTTATCCTTCACTGGATTTCATTTCATACTTTATAAAACTAAAAACAGTAATTAATACTTAAAGGAACAATATGTATAAAATGACAAGTTAAATAGAAGTCATTATATTGGTTATCTTATATATTATTTTTTAGTATAATAAAGCAGTTTCAATGCCAGCAGTCTGACAGATATAGTCAGGGAGTTTGCTTTTTCAAAGATGCATGTGGGATGCCTGTGTGATTATATTTTGATAACTAACATATTGTGATGACCTTGATTGCTGTGGAAACATTTTATCATTTTTAAGCTAAGCACCAGTAGTAAAATTTGAAATAATTACAGATGCATGCATATGTATCCCTAGTAATATGTTTCAAATGTGTGCTTAGAAATTAAGAGAATAGATACGGAGAAATATATAACCCAGGCATAATAAAACTGAAGACTGAGGAGCTGGTATGCCTTTTAATTGTTGAGTGATAGAATTAATAAGCATGAAAATAAGCATATACTGTTCTTTTTCTGAGTAAACTTGACTACAAATTCATACTGAAAAGTTATTTTTCTTCAATCACCAAATTAACCTGATATTATATAATTTTTGTTTTATTTTATTTTATTTTAATTGGATAATTTTATTTGAATAAAAAAATACTTCTGGAAATAGAACATCCAGTTACTTTTGCCTGTTAGGTTACATTTACTCAGGCATACGCTAAATAAGTGCTTTCAAGTCATTTACCTGAAGTATACAAGCCAAAGTAATGCCTACAATAAAGTCTCTTCTTAAAAGATGTAAATTCAGTGTAGAATTGCCCAACAGAGTGGGTTAGTCTCATTACACACAGCTCTGCCTTCATATTGAAGGGTTGCAGACAGATACTGTTCTGTTACATAGTAGGAATATGTCTGTCTTACTCTGACAGATTCTTTATTGTCAAAAACTTTTTCGAGAAAAAAATTAATTACAATGTAGTTTAAAATAAAACACTTACATGGTAATGTCCTTGGTCTTCATTGGTGTGTAGCAGAAAATTTCTTGTGTTATTTTTATTATTATAAAACGGTATGCCTCTGAATATCTCCATTGGTTGCTTTAACTGAAATCAGTTTGATGACTAATATAAGAAGTTGGTGGGCTTCTCTAGGATCTACTTGGTATCACACTCCCATATCAAAAGCCTACAATGATTAGATAAGGCTATAATTAATGAATACTGTTTCAGAACAGAATTTTTAAAACCAAATATAACTAATAGAAATATACATAGCTCACTTAAATATCAAAAAATTAAATACTAAAAGGTTTATATCTTTTTTAGCAAAGAGCATTTCAGAAGCTTATGATTACTACCCTTTTCCTTTCTTAAAAATACATTTTCCCACATGTCCATATAGAAATATATATTTATTATTTAGAGGCAAAATGTTACATTAAGGTCATATGGCAGGATTAGCATATGATATTATACAGTCCTCTTAGTTTTCATCCTTTATTAACAGTCGTCTTTGGCTCTATTTCTCCTCTAATTGGAACATCATCTAGCCTTGGCAGTTGAACTATTCAATAGAACGATTAAATTTTTCTGACTGCTCTGAGCTGAATTGACCTGTTTTGACCTGTTTGTCACTGATTGTAACCTGACAGGCGCTAGCAGCCTGCAACGATTATGGCTTTTTGAGATGAATCTGACGTGTTCTTTGCCTATAGCTCGTCACATGAGGAAACTGGGGCCTCTCACACTCTCTACGGCCATGGAGTTTGCAAATGGCCAGGCTGTGAAAGCATTTGTGAAGATTTTGGACAGTTTTTAAAGTAGGTTTTTAACTTTTTTGGGGTGTGGGGTGGATTAGAGGAGATTCGTGCATGTTGTTGTGAATGAAAAATGAAGGAATGAATAAATCCAGCCCTAAGACTTGTACAGTTTTCTGTTTGTTCCAACAAGTGAATTAGCAAAGTCAGCCTAAGAAAATTAAGATGTCATCTTTTTGCTTTTGTGAAAATGTTTTGCAAACATTTAATGACAGCTTGGAATTAAGTAAAGGTATTAGTAAATACTAGTTAATCTCTGAGAGACGTGTTTGTAAGGTAGGAGTCTCTTAAATTTTAGATTTCTAATAAAAATAGCAGAAATATGTGAGTAAAATCTATGTACTTAAGTACATAGTTATGTTTTGCAAGTTTGCTTTTCAGGCTGCATATTTTGTAACATCTACTTTAAATAGTGAGATTTAACAAAAAGAATTTAAAAACAAAACATTCCTGGTGCCTGAAATTTAAAGAAAAAATTACATTTTTTTCACATTTTCCTTTTTGTTTATAGAAACATAAATGGTTGTATATTTGTATAATTGTGTGGTTCTCTAGATTAAAATGAAACTTCGTGTACTTTTAATCTCTTCATACGATAATACTTTATTTCAAAAAAAATTAAGGGGTTCTTTTTCCAGTGAGAGCATTCATATTTGATGAAACACTTCCACACACAATTCTGGTATAGGAGAGATCTAAACAGAGAGCTGCAGATAGGTTTATGGAGATGAGTGACTTCACAGGCAGAGACTCTTATGTTGTCATGGTGCAGCTAACAGGGTGAATGAACTGTTTCATGCTTCATCAACAATTAAGTTAATTAGCTCATTTGAAATTGCACTGCTTTGTTGCCAGGATGTTGGCAGAAACATCAAAAAGATGTGTTTACAAATGGTAGACTGACTACAGAGTATAGCGCAAAAGCACCTTAATAGCAAGACCTCAGTACTTGGCTTCATAATAACTTTATAACTGAATTACAGTAAGACTTCCACAGTGATTTTTTAACCTTTCATCCTTTCTGACCAATTAAGAGCAAATTTGCTTCATGTACCACAATGGCTGTTTGTAACTGGCTTAAATGAAAATTTACAATTCTGCTACCAAAACAGTTGTAGGCTGCCATTTTGTTGAGTCCAAAGTCCACAGTATTTTTCTGAGCAAAGAGGAAATTTAAAAATATTAGATAACTTTGTTAAAGTTTTCTCTGAGAGAAAATTTATATTTTTTAATTTTTTTTTAATTTTGGTACTGAGAATCAAACTCAGGACCTTGTACTTGTCAGGGAAGTGCTTTGCTGTGAGCTATGCCCCCAGAAAGAAATAAAAAATGTGTTTTTTCTTTTATGGGTACCAGAAATCAAACTTAGGACCTTGTATTTGCCAGGCAGGTGCTGTGCTACTGAGCTATATCTACAGCGCTAAAATTTTTTTAAAGAAAGAATATGGAGTAGAAATTATTTAACAACTTTTTGATAGTGTTCATTTGAACATATTACTTATTTTCAATATATTATTTGTTGTGATTGAGATTTAGGGGAGTATTTCTTTAGTATGGTTATTTAAGCTAGAAAGCTATTCCTCACTATGAACTTTTGTGCTCCAAATTGTTCTTTCAGAAAAATAACATTTTTAGAAAAAACATTTTATCTTCAGTTCTTTAGCACATCAATTCCAGTTTTTAGAAAAATGAAAAAGCATGTCTTTCAATTAAAAATCAACTTCAGTTTCAAAGGCTAACCATTTTCCCAACATATTAACTTTATAAGGATGATGCTACTAATGATAATATATTCTCAGATCTTTCTTTTAGTTCTGTGATACATTCTGTTAGTAGAGCTAACATCACTATATGGTACTGAAATGAAATAATAATTAGACATGTTTTCTCATATCCATTTTCTTAGAGATGTGTGAAAAAGATGAAGAGAAATTTTTAAAATTATGATACAAATGAATTAAGTTATTCAAGAAAAAGGTTTATTTAGCATATGTGTGGGAGGTGAAATGGATAAGGGCGTCACAAACTGCATGCATCTTCTCATTAGAAGACAGATTTTCTTCAGTTAATAAAGGAGAGAATTGAGGGACTGGGGAAGAAGTTGGCAGACAAATCAAAAGAGACAGAAAACATTTTACATACTAGTTTTGTTGTGTATACATTCTCCCACAATTTTGTATCTATTGTTTATAATAAAAGCTTTAAAGAAAAACTTATTGTGATCTTTTTAATATAAAGTTCTCTAGAAATAAATTCTATAGTTCAGGCTGTAATTTGGCATTATATAAGTTTTACCTTGAATTGAAAGAAAAAAGAGAAACATCCTTTTTATGTTTAGCCTCTGTGCATTAAACAACAGTGAACAATAGAAAATGTGGGACTCGTCTTAAATTTTCTTTCTCACATTATATTGAAAACAAAATGGAACCTCTCTGTTTGTGCCCTGCACAGAAATTGGACAATACAACAGTTCTTTTTTGTGTATTATAAATATATTCTGTTATATATTTTCTTAATTTCTAGATATTATAATGGATATATATTCTTATAGGTGATCGTTAGTATTCAATTGAGGTATTCTTTTCATATAATAAAAAAATTGAGACCTAGAAAAAGTGTTTAGAGCAGCAAATAAAAGCAGAACAACACAACATGAAGAAGGAAGTTAAAGCAAAAAAGATTTTGGGGAAAGTTTGAACTTTGAGGTTTTTTTGACAAAAGTGAACCATTTTTCTGACCAGTAATTGAGGCTCTCACTAGATCATTAAGAACATTTAATATTACATCTTCATTGTTGTCTTCCAGATGTCAAAGTGTAATAGCATCTGACAAAATTTTAGTGTATTTGACTACAAAATTAATTATCACTCCAATCATCCTAAATCAGCTTGAATGTAGATGGATGAATTTTTGGAGCTTAAGTCAAAGGTGTACAGTATAGCACTCCAGTTAGCAGACAAGTGTTCTTGAACCCGCCATGTGTGGATGTCTGCAAACAAAACATGGCATGAAGTGCAAGATGGAAATATTGTCCTTTAACAAACACAGAATGGAGTCAGATGTGAAAGTATATACTCCTATAATCCAAAGGCTTTGGGAAGCTGAGGCAGGAGATTCATATGTTCAGGCCCAGCACGAGCAATTTGACAGTTTAGCTACACCCTGTCTCAGAATGCAAAATATATGAAAGCTTGGAGATGCATCTCAGTGTGAAAGCCTTGGATGCAATCCCCATTACCACACATGCATGTGCGCGCGCGCGCACACACACACACACACACACACACACACACACACACACACACATTGGTTAACGTCTATAAAAATACTCATGTAAATATCATAACATTAAGATTAGTTATGAAAATAAATTAAGTATGTTACAGCTTAAATTTTTCAGTTTTGACACTATGTACAGAACAGTAGAAAAGGCAGTGAGAAAGGTAGAGTTTAACAGAAGTTTGTTTTCTTTTTTTCTTGCAGCTGACTACTCTAAAAAATCCTGCTCTTACTTAGTGTGTATTGTCTATTTCTTTGTCTTTGACTAGGCAGCATGGCTACAAAATTATGACCTCAAGAAGGCATTCTTTGAACTTGTCAGAGTGTTGTTTCTTTTGGTGACAGTGCCCCTATCCCTCAAAACTAAGGCATCTCACATAATCAGCTAAATGAATAGTGACAGCTAACATTTTGTATTTAAACTCCTGTCAGTGTTTAAACATAAAAAGCTTGATGCAAAATAAATCAAACACCACTGATATGCAAGTGAAACATTTTGTTAAAACAATCTCTGACATACTTGGATTTAAATCTGATCCCTTTTTAGCTTATAAAATACTACCATATTAAGTGAATTTAAAAATCTAGAGGTTAAATTTGAATTGCTGCTCTGGAGTATACATAATTGAAGTTACCACATGCATTCATAACCATAAAATCTTCAGTAAAAAGAACTGTGCATTAAATAAATTGGAGGAATCTTTTACAATACTTTTGTCTTCCTGAAATGCCTTCTTAATTATTTTTTGAAAGACTTTGCCTGTTTACCATTTTTCCTAGTTCACACTACCTACCTAGCACACAGATTCAATGCAGTTTTGAAAGAACGTCAGTCGACCACATCATTTATTCCATTTTGAAAACAAAAATCAATATACCTATAAAGTGACCCATAAATTAGAACTAGCTCACACGATGTTTGTTCAGTGCTGCCTTTCTGAAGGCCCCTTTGCATTTTTTCTTCACCTCTCTGTTTGAACTGCAGTCTCGGTAAGAGGCTCATTAGGGGACATTAGGGACTGGAGCTAACCAGAATTCCAGAGCTCGCTTTGCTCTTATTAATGCATAGTAGAGTAGAATGCATTTAAATATTTCATAGGCATTCAGTAATTTGTGTGTAATCGCCTTGTTAGCAGACCAGTAGAAGTAGAACAGGCCTGTGAAATGGTGTTAGTGATTGCATGGGTAATTTACAGACCTTTGGCATCAGCAAGAGTATTATTGTTGGCTAGTATGAAGCTGTGAAATAGAACTAGCAATAAGTAAAAAAAGAAACTTAATAAAGGTTTTGTAACAAGCATCTTCAGGGATAACAACCCCACTTGGTCCTTTTGAAGCAGCCATAATTTATGACATAGGCGATATATCAAATGCATAAGATAGTATTATGGAGCATTCATATGAAAAGGGTATTTGCAACATTAGTTCCAACTTCCTGCAAGGGACATGATTAAATGATTAATGAAATGTCCCTTTGCATATGCATTTTGAAACAGCAATTAGGCACTGACAGAGAAAATCCACCAATCCTCTCATTTTTCAGTATTATCTCATTCTTGATTTATAAATCATAGAGAATTTTTGAACAGCAATATGTAGTACCTGAGATAGTTATAAAAACATAAAAGAGAATAATTTGGGCACAAAATAGTCATAAATACATAAATTCATAATTTAATGTTAATACTCAGCCTATTTATTTAGTCTTATTGCATTGTATTTATATCTGACACTATTTCTGTACTTTGATTGGCATAATTAAGTAGGGGGAATGAATAGGCACTATTATTTTACATATCACTGATAAACAATAGCGAGGAAAGGAGAAGGGAGATGTGGCAGAGGTATGTATGTGTTTTTCAAGTTCTCAGTAATCCACTGGAGGCTGTTCTATAAATGATCATTGAAGGGCTGCAAGCTAGCCTATAATTACAGGAAAGAAAGTGGCAGCTCTGGCATTTCATAACTATGTGTCCTCGAAAAGTGCTTTGTGAGTTTGTCACCAATGATAATTTAGATAGAGGCTCATTACTGAACATCACAACACTTTAAAAACCTTTCGCCTTCATACAGGAGAATAAAGGACTATTTTAATGGCAAGGTTCTTTTGTGTTCCACTGAAAAATTCAATCAAGACAAAACCTCATTGACTATTATTGTACTCTACAGTCTCTATTCTAATAAAAGCTGCATAGATAAATTGAATAGGTCTCTAAGACCCACTATATAATGAAAACATTTTGCACTTTTTTATTTCTTTAAATATAAGATAACAATTATCACTAACAAGTAAACAAGTGTAAAAATCCTTTTGAAAGTGATTTTGTGCAAAAAGAAACGTTACAGTAAATTTACCTTTTCTTGTGACACTGTGTCTTCTACTTATCTGGCTTACTCTATTTATGTCCTAATTTTGTGTGTATAACTAAAACAGTTTTTAGAAAACTGTTTTTAAATTGATTGCAAGATAAATTATGTGTGTTCTCTACAAGTTGTGGTTTAAAAAAATCATACAAAAATGCAACAACATTAAAGTATAAGACTACAAACAATTATTATATTGTGCTGATATGAAATTTTCTCATTTCTCAGGAATGTTTGAAGATAAAAACCCAGAAACATAATTTATATGCTTTCTTGTGTGTCAGGATTAAGTTACACTTTGCATTTTAAGCTGATCTTTAGTTTGCTGTTGCAGTCTGTGCCTCCTTGCTAGAGAGCGCAGGTGAATGTTAGTCCTTTTTACAGTTTGCTCCTGAGCAGAATTGGTCTGAGCTGAGTTTAGAGCAGGTAGTCTTAGTGGGAGTGCTTCTCCTGGACTCCAGCATCACATCTTCAGCTTGACCTGGTCCATCTGGCTATTTTAGTTTACAGTTTCTCTTCACCCAAGACTAACGATTATGCTGAGATACATAGAGGTTTTGTTGTTATGATCGGCAAGGAAGCGCTAATATGAACTAATCTAATTTATCAAGGTATGAGGCAGAAAGGAACAAAGGTTTCTAATTCCCAACATAGATCGAACAAACCTACTCGTTTACAGGTTAGTTCTTTCTCAACAATGCCATTTTAATTATTCTTCATGATATATATATATATATATATATACATATATATATATATATATATATCTGCCACATATTTTTTTACTTCATTATTAACTTCAAGAAATACAGATAAATAATTTGATAGGAAAAAATATCCATTAAATTCAGTATATTGAGAACCATAATAAACTTCTTAGATTTTATATCATTTGTAAATGATACTTAAACCCACAGAGATGAAATGTATAAATTAATTTTTTGTGAATATTTTGTTCAATTCACATGTTTGTATTTTGTACATGGGTGAGAACATCTCTTAAACATTGTCTTAGTTTGACTGTTGATGAAATAGATGTGCTAGAAGATACCGAATTACTGAACGATTGATCTTAATTTCAGGTGTCCTCAAATTATGTATTACAAATTACAAAGTGCATATTACTAAATGTTTTCATGTTCATCAGAGATATTTTTGCTGTTTTAAGATGTTATTAAATAGATCTCTTTAGGCACTCTATGATAATCATGATAATAATAATTTATGTAATACATATTCAAGATCAGAGAAAAATTATGAGAATAGCCTGTCACTATTTTTGTATAAGTGAGTATAGATTTCTCCCCTTAGGAGTTTAGGTATGAAATATCAATTGTATGATTCTTATTATTACAATCTTCAATAGAATTTGTTTTCTAGTGAGATACAATTAACATTTACTAGATTATTCAGGTTTTCATAGGATGATAATTGGTCTTTATGCAATTCCTACCGCATTCCAGAAAATAAGACATTGCTCACTAAAAATATCATAGAAACAACCTGTATTAACAGAAACAGAATAGATAATTGCCTTTTTGCTCTAAAATTATATATATATATATATATATATATTATATATGCTATTCTTTCTTAAAAACATTTCATGAGTATATGAAATATACTTGTGATTTCTACTATTGCTTTGTAAATCACTTGAGGAAATATTTTTGTATTCAAGGATAAGCTTAGAGACAATGGCATTGTCAACCTTTTGAAGCCTTTTTATATCACATAAATATCACTAAACATATGAGCACATTTAGCTCTTTCAGTGTAGTTTCTAAGTGTTTGATCTATGCGCTGCAGAGGAAAGTGCAAGTTCAGTGCATTACGTATCAGGTGGTCCACATGCCACTGAGTGAGAGGTCCTCTAATGTCCTGTTCTGTGTCTTGTGTTGTGCAGGCACCTTAACAATGAGCACGCGCTGGACGACCGAAGCACAGCTCAGTGCCGAGTGCAAATGCAGGTGGTGCAGCAGTTAGAAATACAGGTTTGTCAGACCTCGCTTGGTGGCCTCCTTTCTCAGGTTCCTAGTGTGTTACATTGAGCATTGAAAGGATGTGAGGTCCCAAGGGCCACCTCTTAATGACTTAGCAACATACTGACTAATTACAAAATATGGAAATCTGGATTATTTTTTAACAATGGCAATAACTCGGGATAGATTGCTACTGTTTATTTTCACTTAGACCTACCTAACTTTTAAAACATATTATCTACTTTTGAATATCCCCACACTATCAATTCTATATTTTTCCTATTGTCTGTTAGACCTATAAAGTATGATTTTATTATAGAGACAGGTATGATACGAGCTGATTTTGATTCTCCCCTAAAGGATTCTACATTAAAACAAAAGACTAGTCTTTTAAATATTACACCTTTACTATCTTGAAAAAACAACTTTTGCTTCTAGTATATTTGTAATTTACAATTTTACAAAAAAATTGTTCTTGCTTATATTTAACTGGAGTAATGGCACATATTTTAAGTCGTAGGTGGAAGCATATCTTATATCATTGTTGCTCTTCTAAGTTTTAACAAATTTTTAATACTGAAATAGAATTTGGCCAAAATAAATAGAATTTGTAAAACTGCTCAGAAAGGAATTATGTCACCTAAAGTCATACTTTTTGCTATTTTACTAATGCTGCAAGGTTTTCTTTAATATTTTATCCTGAAGATTATTTTTCTCAACAAAACTAAAATTTTGTTTTACTTAATTAAACATATAATTGCACTTTTTTCTTCACTCTTCAGCTGGTCTTATTTCAAATTCACCATATTGCTTTTTTTTCCAGCCAAAAATTAAACATTTTATTTTGAGTTATAAAATAATCAAGGACATGTAAGCTACTTACTATTTATAAAATACTAATAGATAAGAGTACAGATGATCATATAGTCTGCAGTCCAGCCAATTATCTCTCTCTCTTTCTCTCTTTCTCTCTCTCTCTCTCTCTCTCTCTCTGACTGATGGAAAAGTAAGGTCCGTCAGTTGTAATGAGACCCAGCGCAAGTGTAGATGCCGACTCCGTGGCAGAGTTCAGCGTTTCACACTGCCTGGTCTCTGTCACTCTATTGAATTAGATTGATGATGGCAGATTGCAGGGGGCACTAACTGGACCTCAGTGGGAATGCATGAAGTGTGTAGACAATCCTGGCAGGCACTTGCTTTGAGAACCCTTCACCCCTTCACAGCTGTTGGCACTAGTCCATTGCTAACAGTGTCCACAGGACTTTTTAAAAGAGACACCGTGGGCCTTCTAATTTATGGTTTTGGTAACTTGTTACTGTCGCGGCAACTGTGACCTCAATTCTCTTATTGACAAAAAGATGAAGTGTTATTTGTTTTCTCTGACCTTTTAACATAAAGAAAGCTATAAAAGTTTTTTCCCTCTCCATAGCTAAAGTTGCATTTCCTCCCAGATAAGTTCCTACTGACACAGACTTTTATATGCAGGAATCATTACTCTGAGACAAGCTCAATGATAAGATGGATCACTGCGATAAAATAGCTGTCTCAGTCATTTCTAAAATGCTTCTGATCTCACTCTTTCTTAACAGCTTTCTAAAGAACGTGAACGTCTTCAAGCAATGATGACCCACTTGCACATGCGACCCTCAGAGCCCAAACCATCTCCCAAACCTGTAAGTGCATATTGCTTTATAAACAGTAAATAGCTCTACCAATGTAACAGAGTAAGAAAATGAACAATTTAGTGACAGTTAGAAAACAATGAGAGTGATAAAAAATATGGCAATAAAATGAAAGTAAAATGCAATCACTCGTCAAATTGTATGTTTCTTTTACAGTAATGCTATCTTTTATAAAATCTATCCAATCTACACTGTGGGTGACACTAAACAAAGTATACCTATCAGTGCACAAATCACTGCCTTGAGGCTGAAACTAGAGAGAATATCTTTCTGTGATAGGTTTAGAGATATTAGAAAGAAACCCACTTTGAGCTCCCTAAAAAGTAGCAAGAGTACCAATCACAAACAGAAAGGTTTGTGATGTTCCGAAGAAGACTTACATCAATCATAAGGCACGTATAAGTAGACTTGTTTTATCAAATATTTTGTCAAAAG